TCTTCTCTCTTCTCTCTCATTATCTTTCTCTTTTTTACCTCCTTAAGTGCTCGGTTTATAGTTTTGTACTCGGTTACCAAAAAACGAATATATATATATATATATATATAAATTCCTTTCACCACATTCTACATTATTTTTTGTTTTAAATTTTTTTTATACAAAATGTCGACTTCTCGTGGTGGTGCTCGTGCTTCGACCTCCGGAAATAAACGGAGAAATGTCGGCACGTCATCTTCGAGACCTCCAATTTCGGAATTTGCGAGTCCATCAGTACATTTGGATGTTCCTATTGTCCACGATGACATTGATGACGCAACGATCAATGTCATGTTTGTCTTAATTCAGTCTGAGCAGCAAGAGCCCCAGCATCAGCCTTATCACGACCATTTGGATGATCTCTTTGGAGCAAGCCCGGAGCCCGAGCAAGAGACGCAGCCAGACATGTACGACTCGTCCTCTGTCATCGGTCGTGGTTTCGGTGGGGGTGGCAAATCGGGATCCGCCATCTTCGGACGACATTACACGAAGATTCCAAATCCGGAAAGAGGTGAGCATCACTTTTTTGCAGTTTGCAACTACTGCCCGTCCAATTCCAGGAAGCGGTATCATTTCAAAAAAGGCGATGGGTACGGATCCATGAACCGGCACCTAAAGAGCTGCCATCCGACAAAGTTGGAAATTGACACGGCACAGACGCAATTCCCCAGTAGTAGCTCTGCATCCGCCACAACTGGTACAGGTACGCCACCTTTTTTTTATTACTCGCATGAAAATCATAGACGTCATTTAGCTGAATTTGTTTTTGCTTCATCTCTTCCATTTAGTTTTGGTGATAGTGATTTATATGAATATTTTGCTCAAATGGCTTTGAATCCGCTGCCACCCGGGTTTCACGTACTACTCTTACTCGCGATATTCGAAAAATAGTTAGTGAAAAAAAATTAATTTTGTAAGAAACTTTTAAATCTTTAAACCATAGAATATCCATTTGTGCTGATATATGGTCCGATCATTGGCAAAATAACTACTATTTGGGAGTTACTTAACACTGGATCGATGAAACTTGGAGTTGCAAAAACGTTTAATTTCTTATGTTGCATTTCATGAACGTCACACTGCATCTAATATTGCTCGTTTAATTTCAAAAATTTCGGATAATTATAAAATTGGTAAAAAAGTGTTTTTCATTTTTTTTAATAATACTACTGCCAATACTGCATCTATACGTGAACTTACAGATATTTGTACACCTATTTGTGGGGGTAGATTTTTTCATATTCGTTGTATATGTCATGTCTTAAATTCAGTGTACAAGTTGGTTATCATGCTTTTAAGATTCAGTCACGCCAGTTAGGAGCGTTGTTAATTATTAACATAAACGACCCAAAGAAATGAAAGCAAGGGAACGATTTTGTAAAAATATAAAATGTTGAATGATACGGTCCCATTTATGGCGGCATTGGAGAACTTTTTTAACGATCCAAACCGTAGGGACTGTAACGTCCGAGTCTCCACAACAGATTGGGAGAATTGTAAGGTACTTATTAGTTTTTTAGAAACATTTCAAAATATTACTGCCATGTGTATATTATCCTGCTGCTCAGCTTGTATTAAGTCAATGTGCCATCACGTGGGCTTTCTCTGATCTTTGCAAAGTTGATTTTTAAATATACAGATCTAGTACATTAAATATTAAAAAAATGTTAAAATATTAGTATTATATTCATGATACATTTTTAGTTACATGTTTGTTAGATCCTACAACACGTGAAGTTGAATTGATAGATAATCTTAACATGTATTACAATTATATGTATGAAATCCCATTGTCGACTGATGTGGAAGAATTAGGGCTGAGCACGGGTCTTGGAGATTACTGAACCGTACCACAAAACTGAACTAAATTTACCTCGAACCGAAAAATATCCGTTGACCGTTTGACTATCTCCGAACCGAACCGTATCGATTTTTTTTTTGGTATGGTTCTGGAGATCCATAAAATATCCGTATCGAGAATCGAACTGAACAGGACCAAACCAAAAATAACAATACCCAACCAAGGAACCGAACAAGAACCAATTCCAATTCATAAAATCCATATATATATATATATATATATGTTATAATTTATCATATGTATTTTTTTTTATCTTTGTACATAATTGTGTTCAAATAAATCTATACACATTATTTATATGTCCATCAAAACTACCATAAGTTATATTTCAAATTGAGTTGCGAAAAAACATTCACTATTGAATGTTAACAAATTTAAAAACTGAAAAAATAATAATTTTATTTTGATCCAACTTATGAGGCACTATTAAATCTAAGATCTCATTTTCTAATTATTTTTTAAAAAGAAAAATAAATTAATAGACTCTTCCGATTACAAAATTTGATAGTCAACATGTCAAATGTTTTATTAAGAAAACCAAGAAATATAACTTAATAAAATTTTAAATTCCAAATGTTTGGGAAACCGACCTTTAGGAAGTAAATCTTTCACAAAACTTGGAGAAAAATCTATATCTATATCTATATAAAGAGATTGTTGGAAAAATATATTGATAGAAAGTTTGACCAAATAAATATAATGTTTGACTTACTATTAATGGAAAGTTCGCAAAAACACATGTTAATCTTTAGTAACAAAATATGAATCCTATTTTTTTTGGAAACAAATTGGAGATTCTTATGGCAACATTTGAATCCCATTTTTTTCGTATCATATTTTATTTTACTAGTAATCCCCCGTGCGATGCACGGGAAAATTATAATTTATGTACTTTTTTCGAAGGTAATTTGTATATAGTCATAATAAAATTGAAAAGACGTGGTTGTTAATAATAATTATAATAATAATAATAATAATAATATTCAACTACAATAACATTTGTTTAATTGGATATAAAATAAAAGAAATGTTATAGGTACATAATATTGTACATACGGGTGTAAATAGCACTCATATTGAGTGAGACCCACCAAAAATAAAAAAAAAATCAAGTGGACTCCATTGCATATGAGTATTATGTACACATATATATTTATTATATACTTGTAGCATTTTCCATAAAATATATCAAGTATTGGACTGTGTTTAATAACATCGACACTAATTAAACAAACATTAGGCCATAAGTCCGGATTTTCAGGGTTTTCATTTCATTTTTTTCCTCTCCTTCCCCGACCAATTCTCTATGCCGTGCCGGTCGTCTCTTTATTTTTATTTTTTTTTACCTGCAAAAAATGAACGTTTCTAAACATTTTGATCACATATATTGTGATTCGTACATTTATGTTTAGATTAATTTAAAACAAAAATTTGAACAAATTGTGTTTTGATTATAAGATAAGTCCAAATGATTTGAAAAATAATTAATTAGTTAATTCGTTAAGATTTTTTATCCGTGTAGAAAGATGACCAATTAGTACACATGTGTCATAATTAAATGTCATTTTAATTTTTTGAATAATTGTGATTTGATGATAAGATAAGTTAAAATAATTTAGATAATTAATTAATTGATTGAGTTGTTTAGATTTTATAACGTGTTTTAACTTGTCCATTACACGTGTTTACTCATTAACTCAATTTTTGTTAGGACTATAGCACGATAATATTATTATATTATTTAATGTCAAATATTAAGGACTCTTGTACTAATTATGTTGTTTAAACTTGCTACAATTATGATAACCGAGATAATGTACACGTCTTGTTTAAATTATGATAATATAAGTGTACATGAACTGTATTATAAATTATTGATTTATTTGTTTAGAAGTTTTAATAATGTGAAAACTTTATGATAAGATTGGTGTGAAATTTTCATAAATGCATTTATAATGTGGTACTCAAATATTTGATTTTCTGTTACAATTTCTATCAATTGTTGGATTAACTCAAATATCAAGTTTTTAATTATTATTTTTTTTTTTGCCAAAACGACAGGGGAACTATTATAAATCACACTGTTTGAAAAGTCGGCCTAGGCGGTGCCTAAG